AATATTTTGTTATGTGCATGTATCAGTGATTGATAAACTTCTATGTACAGTTGTTTGCAATTTTTTTGTTTTTTAAACAATGCTAGTTGTCTTTATATATAAATCTTTACATATTAATAACTACATATATAATGTTTTTCAATTATATACTTACTTATATATTTATTTTTAATGACTGTATCCACATGAATTTTCAGAAGTGAAATTGCTGGGTCATAAAGTGTGTTTATCTAAATGTAAGGGTATACCGGAATACGGGAATTCTTTGTAACAGCATTTTTTCTGAAAGTCTGAAACCACTTTAAAACAAAAAGCAAATGAGTAAATAAATACATGTGAAAGAGTGTCTCTTTCTGCACAACCTGACCAACACATCTGAGTATTATTATCTTTTCATCTTTGACAATCTGATAGGTTTAAAAAGACTGCTCATTGCTTCAACTTGTATTAATTGTATTGATTGTGTGTTTCTCTCCCATGATATTCACATTTTCCTTAATGATTTGTAAGCAGTTTTAGTAAGCTGAAAAGCCAACTAAAAAGTAATGTCTTTCCCACCAGTGTTACATGGTCTCATCACTTCACAGTTTAGCAGCTGCTTTAAATCTCATCTGAACTAAGGAAAGAAAAACACCAAGGAGAGTAGCATGATGTTCAAGGTTAATCATTTTTAACATTGTTACCTCACAAAGAAGAACCAAGTCATGAACAACAGATTCCTTTCTCTTCCGGAAATTTATGTTCTGCAGCTGATTTTCAGATAAAAAATCCCAGGCTTGTAGGATTGTCATCATTTCAGCCATTGGGATTTTCAAGATGGTCCTCCTGACAAACTCGGCGACGGTTTCATCCATTTCTTTGGCACTTTAATGAAACAAAAACAGCACAAGAATAACCAGCACAAAAATTTAACTTACCAGTGAATTTTTTCAGCATATTTTTAGCTGAGATTTTGGTTTGTAGGTCAAACACCCACATGTTTATTTTACCTTTTCTCAGGCAATCTGCAAAGTATTTCAACAAGAGAATTTAATATTTTCTCCTTAAGCTGTATATTTAAATATGTTTTAGAGTTTTTAAAAATTAGTGCTCTCCTTTCTTGGCTAGAGTACTTTGATCTTTTGATGGCAATGACATGGAAATCATGAACTCATTTACTGATTCATGTAACAAGTTCCTGGGCACTTATTTGTGCCAGATACTTTTGTAGGCACTGAAGTTAAACGCATCTTTAACCAAAAAGACAAAAATCCCTGCCAGTATGGAGCGTCTTTTCTACTTGGGAGAGGAAGGCAACAGGGAAGTCACAAAATGTATTAAAAGTGGTAAGTGCTGCAGAGAAAATGGAGTAAGTAGTGTCAGTACTAGTACTAGTAAAAATGGAACAGGCTGGGAGTGAGGTGGAAGGAGGTGGAGAGAGCAGGCCCCACAGAGAAGTGGGCATCTGAGCTGATCCTCGTGGGAGTATGCCATATGTCTAGCTATTGGAAGAGTTTTCCAGGCAGAAGGAACAGCAAGTGCAAAAACCTTGGGGTCTTCAAGGAAGAAGAAGCCCTCCAGAGAGACTGGAGGGAGGAGCACAGAGGAGGTGGGGTCAGAGGTCATGAAGGGCCCTGAGGGCACTGCAAGGATCTTGGCCTTGACTCTGACAGAAACCAGTGGCTGGAAGTCTTTGAGAAAAGGCAGGATATGCTCTCACTTAGGTTTCCTACCAGGATTTAATCTGGCTACTGTTCTGAGAATGTAGACTAGGAAGAAGAGAGAAAACAGGAGGCCAGCTAGGAGGCTACCTCAATGATGTAGGTTAGAGGTGGTGGTAGACCAAAGTGGAGATGGTGGGAACAGGTCAGATTCTGGATCCACTTTTAAGAGAAAGTCCACAGAATTTCCCAATGGATTACATGCAGGTGTTAAGAGAGAGGAATCAAAGATGATACCAAGGTAACTGAAAGGATGGAGTGGCTATTACCTGAGATGGGGAAGACTACTGGGGGTGGAGGAAAGCTCAAGAATTCTGCCTTAAACATATAAATTTTAAGGTTAATTTTTAGACTCTAAGTGGAGAAGCTAAACAGCTGGAGTTATGAGCTTACAAGACTCAGTGAGAGCTGGAGATGGAGAGGATCACAGTCTCTTCTTTAACGCATTGCCAATTAATATAAAGCTATCACACCACTTTTCTGGTCCCATGCCTGATTCTTTCATTGTCCAAAAAGTCTTGCCACAAATCTGGTGTAGCTCCCTCAGCAACAGACAGGGTAATGATCTTCTGGAGCATAAATAAGGTTCTCTTAAAGGTGTGGCATAGGGTAGGGGGATTCTGAGTCCTTTTATTACTTTTTACAGGGAAGAAGCTACAGGCCAAGGGTGACAGTTGATCTCAACTCTACTACCTCATCTGAGGACACTAATGGACATCTCTCATTCTCCCTCAAAATACAGAACATAACAAGGCAAGCAAGTATGATTTCTAAACAAAGATTAAGTAGGATATCCTCAGATGTTAAACACCCTTAACAGCCTATCTTCTAGGAAAGAGCATACAGACCTTGCTTGGTGTCTGTGTTTAAGACAAGAAGCAATAGTCTGTCAATCTCATCAGCTGCCACGGCAACTACAGGATTTCTAAAGGCAGAGGCATATCCCCCTACAGGGATCCCGACTGTGATTTATGCCTACCATTTAAGTATTTGTGGAATACTGCACGTAATTTATTAGCACTGACAACTTCCAAAAAGAAATGGATATTGTCTGTATCTTAAAAAGATACTGTCCTGGCTGGTATGGCTCAGTGGATTGAGCACTGGCCTGCCAACCGAAGGGTTGCTGGTTCGATTCTTAGTCACAGCATATTGCCTGGGTTGCGGGCCAAGTCCCCAGTAGGGTGTGTGTGAGAGGCAACCACACATTGATGTTTCTCTTCATCTATTTCTCCCTCCCTTTCCCTCTGTCGAAAAACAAATAAAAGCTTTACAATAGTTAAAACAAAAATAAAGAGGAACTATGGAGTCATTTAGAAATGCAGTGGCAGCAGAAAGAGAAAAATATCTGAGTAAAGAACATGAGAACAGAATCAGTCTCAAGAAAATGACCCTGAAGTCAAGACTGAAATCCTCATGAGGCCCTGCACTGCTTGGTATCTGATTCTGTCCCCATCTACCACTATATCCTTGGCTTTCTGAGCTATCTTAGCCTTTCAGTTCCTCTAACACAAAATGATCCCTCCACCAAGGTCCATCTACCTTCAATTCTCCCTGCCTAGAATATTCTTCCCGCACATACTCACATGGGCAACTCTTGCTGTAATTCAGGTCTCAGTTCAGATGGCTTCTCACGGAGACTTATTCTGACCACCCAATCTGAAGTTATTTCCCCACCTTCATTGTTTTTCTTTACAGAACTATATGAACTTATCTTGCTTTTTTAATTACTTCATTGCTTAACAGTATTTTACCAAGCTCCACTAGGGTAAGAACTATGTTTATCTTACCCATGGCTCTACCCCTACATGACAAATACCTGTGGAATAAAGTATTACTTTCCTTAAGCAGTGTGCCTGAGGAGATAACCTGGGAAGCATTAGGGTCCAACAGTCCGAGAAACATCAAAAAACAACAGAGATCGGGGTGGGACTGTTAAAATGCAGCTTTCTGGGCCATATCAATTTAAACTGGGGCTGGGGGGCAATCACTGAGTAGGACTTTGGATTCTGCATTTTAGAGTGCCTGAGAAGATTTTAAATTTTAGGTAGCTTGTAGAATGCCATTCTAAACTATTTGGTAGAAGGAGCTCACTCAATGTCATCAACAAAGTTCGAAAACTCTTTCGAATAAACTCTCAATTCCCTGTGATTATCTAATTTCTTTTTAAATTTTTTTTTATTCATTTATCTTTAGAGAGGAAGGGAATGAGAGAAGGAGAGAAATATCAATGTACGGATGCCTCTCATGAGTTTCCTGCTAGGAATTGGCCTGCAGCCTAGGCATGTGCCCTGACTGGGAATCCGACTGGGAATCCAACCGTGATCCTGTGGTTCGCAGGACGGCACTCAATCCACTGAGCTACACCAGCCAGACCTATCGCTATCTAATTTCTTATTTACTAGTACATAGGAGCTCAATGCCTGGACTACAGAAGGCCGTTAAGATATATTTGTTGAATAAACTTATGAAAACAAGAGAGCCCTTTTAAGTAATTTTCCTGTAGAGGTACACCGCTGGAGAGCTGCAATAAGGAGCATAAGAATTGAACGCGAGAGGCCGCGCGGATGTAAACAGAACGGAACCCATGGATAACTGAAAAATCAAAACACCCAACTCCCGGCAAAACAGCAATCCAAAACTCGGAAACAAGCTCACCCCATCACGTGACTATTTGAGAAGGCTGGGCACCGACGCACGCTTACCCAAGTCCCCGCCCCAACCTGGGCGGACGTGAGGTCACGACCAAGCATCACTGGCCTCTCTGCCCTAACTTTCAACCATAGTCCGTGCCCCTCCTCCACCAGCTGAGACCAAGCGCCAATCCGCACCTTGGGACATGCGGCTGTCGCGGAAAAGTCACCCCAGAGGCTTGGGATGTGGGTTCCTTAAGGCTCCCGCCCCTTCAGAACACGATTCCCTGTCTCTACTGCCTTTCTTACCATTCACTTCGGCAGCCGTATCACTCCTATGGAGCTGTTCCCGCCCGCTGCGCCTTCAAAGCCGCCAATTGCAGTTCCCTCCGCCCTCGAGCCCCACCCACTGGGGGGAAGGCAAACTTTGGACTCTATCTCCAGCGTAGGGGGTCGCGAGAAAAGAGCTGCAGAAGTGAAATTCAGTGAGCCTCCATGCCACCTAATTAGCAGAGAATATTGTTTAGATCAGTTATTTTCACCAATGACATCTGACTTGTTGGTTCAGCTTGCTCTTTAGGCTTTGCCGTGTCTCTATGGGCTCGTGCACTCCCCCCTCCACCCTGCGTAAAATGGGCCCGTCCAGGCCCTGTGGCGCCTGCGCCTCTGAGGCCGCCAGCGGCGGGGGCCGGCCTAGCAGGTCAGCTGTGGAGTGCGTTCCCTACTTCAAGCTCCTCTGGCCCTGGCGGCCAGGCAACCCTGCTTTTGGGTGAGGAGCCTTCGCTGGTGAGTATCGCTTCAGCCCTCCTGGGGTGGCCCCGAGTCGGGGGAGTCTGGGGGTTCAGAGGAGCGCCCTCCTGACCGCGGCGCCTGGCGAGCCCGCGGAACACTCACCGGTCTCTTCCCTCGTCCCCTGCTCTTGTGCCCCCCCCCCCCGGTCAGCGTCCTGTCCCGACTTTCTCTCGCCCTTGGAGGTTGATATCGGGAAGGCGGCGTCCTCGAGGCGGCAGTTGCCTCCGCGCTGGGGATTTTGTCAGGGAGGCTACAGGTGCTACTGAACTCTCCACCCTCCGGCTTTTGCTGAGGACCTGGTAGTAGTTGAGGGCAGGCCTCGTCCTAGATGTTTCACTGTCCTGCAGTCTGTCCCGCCGCTCTCGAGCCTTGTGACTTTGGGCGGGCTTTTCTGCTCCCTGAGCCTCGGCTGCCTTTCCTTTAAAATGGTATAAACCCATGGCATCGATTGTGGGAAGCGAAGACCTTAGCCCAGTGTTTGACATGGTGAGCGCTCAACACATGGTGTGGTTATTGTTATTGACTATGTAGTTTAGAATTTGGAGGCAGAAGATAGGAGCCCTTTAGGGCGCATCTCAGCTGCAGTGAAAGTTGCCACCAATTTGTTCAGTGAAGGGAGAATCTCATAAAATCCCCCGTCAGTACACTTTTCAAGGAGCGTAGACGTTCATATTCCTTTTATTCTGTTTAAAAATTACCGTGCCTATCATTTCCCAATAGGTTCTTTAAGAAATCCGAGTTCTGGAAACCTTCATTTAAATTTTTTTAAAAGATTTTATTTATGTATTTATCTTTAGAGGGGAAGGAGAGAGGGAGAGAAACATCAATGTATGGTTGCCTTTTGTGCATCCCCTGCTGGGAACTGGCCTGCAGGGAACCGGTCTGCAACCCAGGCATGTGCCCCTGAGTGGGAATGGAACTGGGATCCTCTGGTTCGCAGGCCCGTGCGCAATCCACTGAGCTACACCAGCCAGGGCTCATTTAAATTTTTAAATGCATAAAAATAAGTTTGCGCTGGCAAAGGTTTTTGTTGTGACATCCTTTGAAACTCCTTTCTATATATACAGGTTCTTGCACTTGTTTAGCTGATTTAAAATTAACCTCATCTCCACACTTAAAAAAAAACCCTATGTTGAGGTCTGAACCAATTTTCATTTCTATGATAATCCTAAACTCAACATTCAGTAAGCATTTACTATGTGTATTTACAAGAATATTCTCTCATTAGCCTGTGTGTGTTCTTCAAGATGTATGGACTAATTTTTCCCCCCGAAATTCATGTGATTTGGAAGCGCCTAGCGAATGCTGATGAAGTGTTCAGGGAAAGCTACAACTTGGCCCATTTCTTAAGAAACTGTGTGATGGAAGCTAGAGTCCTATACAGCCCTCCCCCGTGAAGCCCAGGGGTTGCTCTCAGGGGGCATGGTTTGTGCTTTGGGCACACCTGTTACTTAAGAGCACCTGTTTAGACTTGGTCACCTTGCAGCTGTGGTAAGTAAGTAGAAGTGGGTAGGTTTCGGTGGTCACCTGTTATCTGCTATGTTTGCTACCTCTGCTGAATGTGGTGCATAGTTTAAGATAGTTGGAGAAATACTAATTTACTGGTTCCGGTGCTTTCTGAAATGTAGGCTTTAAAAGATTGTTTTAGAAAGCTTTAACTATTACAGGTTTTTTCCTGGAGAACAGGTTTCAGAGACTTCTGGCCTTGTCTTCTGCTTGTTTTAAAATGACATTAGGATTTGCAACTGTAGCGTAAATTTATTTCTGGTGCAGCAACACAGTAGCACACTCTCTCTAAAGAAAACAAAAGTGGCATTAAAATATGGGTTTTCCCCCATGTAATTATAGATCTGCTGAAGTGCTTACACCCTTTATTAAAGTTGCTTATTGCTTGCTTTTGGTTTATTTATTTTCTGAGATGGTGCCACCTGGTGGTTGAAATCTTCCGAATATTTTAGCTCGGGAGTCTTGGTAGGATAAGGTAAAAAAGTGAATAAAATAAGACTTATTTTTATATTGTCAGTGAGAGGACCCTACTGCTTCTACCCTTTCAGCTTACTCCCTAGTAAAAGTTAAAATAGCTCTTTAGAGGCCCATTGGCCACTTATCAAAACATCAAATTGTCACAGCTGAACATTTTTTTTTTGAGAGTTTCAGCTGAGTGTTTTGGTATCAATTTGTGCATACTTCAGGAAGTGGGTGAAGTTCGCATGGGGAGGGAGGTGTTGTAATTGTGACAAGTTAACCCTTCTGAAGTTTTCTAAATGCCAGTGGGACTGAGCTTTTGTTTTCTAACTGAATAATACTGGACTTATCCCTCTCTTTCTCACTGTAAACACCCACAAATGACGGCTTATCACATATGAATATTCCCTTCACCTTGGTTTCAGCAGTGCAGCCTCTGTTCACAGTACCTTGGCACTGTCCTTTCGAAATTGTTTCTGTATTCCTATCAGTAGCAAGTGTTTATCATATGAATGTGAATTTTGATTTTGGAAATAGCTCAAAGTCATTTAATTGTGAGCTTAGATTTGAGAAGAAACTTAAGAATGCAGTGGTACAGTATACTCTGTGGCATCCTTGAGTGATATAGCCAGTCTCTCAGGTGCACATTTGGACAGATAAGCGAGAGTTTCACGGAGCGGCCTGTTTCGTTGTTGGACAGGTCCATAGAGATGACAGCTGCCTCTGTAACTTCCATCCTCTGGTTTCCAGTCCTGTTCCCAGAAACACCTCACAGTAAATTCAGTTGACTCTTTCTATTACGTGACAGAGCATTTCAAATACACAAATAATACTTTACATGTCACATATACTGTTCACTGTTTCAGAGACTCTCTCATGTTATTTTTAAGCCTCATGCTATCACAGAGATAATAGGTTAAGAGCTAATTCCATTTTGAGAAAGAAGAGACTTAGGTCTCAGATCAAGTAAACAAAGCGGTATAACTTGTAAATAGCTGAATCCACGATTTTTGTCTTCAACATATCTTCTCCCGACAAATCCATGGTTTGTCCAACTTAACCAAGTTGTTCCTTTTATCTGTCTCTGTTGGGGACTTCCCTAAGCTGGCAAATATTACCAATTTTATTAGTGATTTCTTATTTAAATCTAGTGACAGAGCCACCACTTCCTGAGCACTCTTCCCAGGAATATTCGAATTGTGAATATTCCAGATATGGCTGATCAGGATAAGTATAGTCCTGTTTTTTTCTTAGTGTAGACAGACACTCTATTTCTAATAATATAGGATAATACCAATATTACATTGACTTCTTTGGGAACTAGGTCTAGAATTAGTGCCTGTTGAACTTGTAGCCAGCCAGAGGCTCTCTGGGAAATAATTTCATTCACAAACCACTGGGAAAGTATGTTTTTCCTATTAAGAACATGGGGGGGAAATCTGTCGTGGTGAGAGATTACCTTATATAGTAACTCTGCCACTTACTGTGTGGCTGAGTTTTGTCATGAAAATGTGGGTAATGTATATTTTGGTATACAAAAAGGCAATTTCTTATGATTCGACTGAAATGTGAAAGATACCTACTTCCTATAGTTACTTCCTATAGTTGGAAGGATTATTAGACTTGTGCCTAGCACATAGTGCTTAACAAATTATTTTGCACATTAGTAATGTAGATATATTCTTATGGCTTTGAAGAAATTAAAAAAATAAAGAATTAGAATATATATTTAGCTTTCCTTCAGTTCATAATAATTACTTTGAATTATAATAGTGTTATTAGAATAGACTTTTAAAGATGACTAGTGAAAGGTATCAGCACTCATTTAAGTGTGTTCTAAAGACAATGCCATTGTTTTATAGTCATGTATATCATAAATGCATATCAAAAATATGCATTTATGCTTATATACAACATGTATGTATATTTTTATCTTCTTAGGTGTTTACTTTGCCAATTAAGTCATTTCAGTACATCATAAGCTTGTTTCTGAACTGTAAAAGCATAAATTTGAGGGCTGGTTGACAGAAATGTGCAAAAAATATTTTGTCAAATATGTTACAAAATAAAATTTTAAAGTCATTTGCTAGGTGATTCAACCAGTGTACATTTTCCTTCAGAAGATGAAGTGAGGCAGAAACTAGGTAACTGATACTATACATCGGTACAGTATTAGATGACTTAAATTGCTGTACCATATGAGACCTCATTTTTCTGAGGCAAAAATTTATATCATTAAAAAGACTTTGTAGTCAGTGGCAGGCAAAAAAGACTTGAACTAGGCTGTATTTTCAATTTCCATGTCAAGTACTCAGCTGCTCAAAACACCCTGATTTTTTTTTTTTAAGATTTTACTTATTTTTATAGACGGGGGAAAGGAAGGAGAAAGAGGGAGAGAAATGTCTTTGTGTGGTTGCTTCTTTCACACCCCCACGCTGGGGGATCTGGCCCTCAACCCAGGCATGTGCCCTGACTGGGAGCAGAACTGGTGACCCTTTGGTTCACAGGCTGGAGCTCAGTCCACTGAGCTACACCAGCCAGGGTGAATTTTCAGTCTTTGGCTGTGGTATATTTTGTGGGTGTGGGTGGGTTAGTTATTCAATGAAATAGTGATCTACTGGTATTTTTTGTAAGTTGAAATCTGAAATAGTAGGTATATTATGATTCTTTGGAGTTATTGATTTAGATGTTTTTAGGGATTTTATTTGTTGGGAGTGAAAGGTGGATGGGCAGTTTGAATTTCTCAACTTGTTTTTAACAGTTTTGTTAAGGTATAATTTGCATTTTACCTTAACACACCCAATGTAAGTGAATTCAGTGATTTTAGTAAACTTATACAATTGCACAAGCCTTACTCCAGTCTTACTTTAAAACATTTTCATCACCCCCCAAAATTTCTTGGTGTCCATTTGCAAGTTAATTCTCCACTCTTACTGTCAGGTCTAGGCAGCCAATGATCAGCTTTTTGTCTACAGATTTGCCTTTTTTAGACAGTGCATCTAAATGGAATCATACAGTGTAGTGTTTTGAATCTGGCTTCTTTCATTTAGCTTAGTGCTTTCAAGGTTCATCCATGTTGGCACATGTATCAGTTAATTTCATTTAATTGAAAAATAGTAATCTGTTGTGTAAATATACTACACTTTTGTCCAATTACATGGTTATTGGACATTTGGATTGTTTTCAGTCTTGGCTATTATGAATAATGCTATGAACATTGACCTACATATCTTTGTGTGGATACACTAAAGGGTGAAGCAAAAGTAGGTTTACAGTTGTTCATATGGAAAATAATACAATATTTATAATTAATACAAGAGTAAACTGTATTTCATGTGCTCACAACTGTAATTTGACTTCTGCCCCATGCTGTATGTTTTCATTTCTCTTGAGAAGATTCTTAGGAGTGCAATTTCTAGGTCATATGGTAAGTTTGTGTTTAACTTCTTAAAAAACTGTCAGTTGTCTCCCCAAGTGTCTGTGCTGTTTTACACTCCCCATAGCAATACATGAGGTCCATTTTCTCCACAGTCTAAACAGCGCTTAGCATTGTCTGGCTTTTTGATAGTAGACATTCTGGTGGATGTGGAATAATATCCCATTGTGGCTTTAATTTGCGTTTCCCTGAGGACTCATGGTGTTCAGCATCTTTTCAGGTGCTTAATTAACCAGTCCTGTATCATCTTCAGTGAAATATCTATTCAAATCTTTTGTCCATTTTTAGGGGGTCCATTTGAAATATTGGATTGTTTTTAAGATTCTTTATTATTATAGGTACAAGTCCTTGATCATATATGATTTGCAAATATTTTCTTGTAGTCTGTGGCTTGTAGTAGATTTTATTTTTTTAGAGCAGTTTAGGTTTGCAACCAAATTGAGCAAAAAGTGGAGCGATCTCACGCACCCTCTGCCTCCACACACTCACAACTTCCCTATTAACGCCCCCCACTATCAACGCCCCCCACCAGAACGGTAAGTTTATCACAGTCAATGAACCAACTACATTCACACGTCACCAAAGTGTGGCCTGTCTTTCCATTTTCTTATTGGTGTTTTTTTGACCCAGGGAAAATTTTAACTTTGATGAGCTTTTACCAGTTTTTTTTCTTCTTTTATGGATTGTGCTTTTTATGTGTCTAAGAACTTTCTACCCAAACTAAGGTTGTAATTTCCTCCTGTTTTCTTTCTTAGAACTTTTAAAAGATTATAGCAATTAATTGGGTTTGGGTTTTGTTTTTTCTTTTGCTACTTTTTCTGAGTTAAAAAGAATAGGTTTATAAAAGACAATAGGTGTATAGTGCTACATAATTGTAGCACACACCTCAAAATAATGCTTTTGCTTTTACCTTAGCTGATAATTTTCTATGTAAATGAACTAATTAAACCAATTTCAGGGATTTCAGCCTCTTGTCATTGAAGTAGTCACATTTTTATGGCTATATCTGCCAAATTTGAAAAATTTATTTTCCATCTGCATCTAGTTTCTTTTCATTGTTTAGTTCGATTTTCCTAGGCAGAAGTTAGGAAGAAAGCAATCTATATTAATTCACACTAATGCGAGATGACTAATTTTCCCTTTAAAACTCTCAGAGGAATACACATATTTAAAGGATTACTAAGCTAGTTCTCTTAATCGGTAGAACTTCATCTGAACAAAATGAGTTGTGATCAGTTTCAGGAATGTGGGGCTCACTAATACAGGTGAGCTGTTTCTGCCTGAGCGCTGATTTCCAGGGTCAGGTCTGTTGAGGAGTCCTGCTTTTTTCTGAACTTGCATGTTCTCTCAACACTCCTGATAAATTACTGAATCTGTTAAATCCTTGGATAAGGAACCCGAGGCTCAAGTTGAATAATTTGCCTAAAGTCAACATTCTATTCTGATAAAGGTCACTAGAGGTTCTTACTGAAAATATGAAAATAGTTTAGCTTGCACCAACAAATACAGCCACACATATTCAGAACTGCTCTTGTATCCACAGGTGGCTCTGCTGTGCTCCAACACCTGCTAAAGATGCATCCTGACTTATCTCCACACTTGCACACTGAAGAATGCAACGTGTTGATTAACTTACTTAAGGATTGTCACAAAAATGTAAGAGTTCAGAAAAATTACCGTAAAGTAAAAGGGAAACTTAATGTATAACACTGATGTAATTTAAATGTTACTTCCTATAACAGAAAGGAATGATAATGTCTTAGCTTAGTAAAGATTAGCAGCTGATGCTTGTGAGTTTTGAGAAACCACTTTTATGATGAAAAATTCAAGGATGAAAGTTTGTTAGGGATCTTTTGAAATGATTTAATATTTAGAATCCATGACCTTAAAATAAAATACTTTTCCTGATTACAGAGCACTAAAACAATTATGTTCCACTCTGACTCTTCTGATCATAATTGAATTAGTCTAAGATTTTCTGTTTCTTGATGTCTCCCATTCTGTGTTTAAAGGAAATTGAAGCATTTTTATAATTAGATGTTGATAAATTTAAGTTATGATAGACCTAATTTGACAGGTTTACTTAGTGGAATAGAAGTAAAATTCCATGCTAAAAACCAAAATAACAAGCCCATTTTAAGAGTGCATTAAATTGAGCTGATATTTTTACAGATGTTGAATATTTAGCTTTTTCATATACTTGATGCATGAGACAGTGATATGGAGCATTTGTGTTACTCTTTAACTTTGCATGATGCATTAGTTTCTTCATGAGATTCATGAACCGTAGATATGTCAAATTTTAATAGTAATAAGTATGATTTATTTCTTCTTAAAGTATATTTTATTGATTATGTTATTACAGTTGTCCTGGTTTTTTTCTCCCCTTTATGCCCCTCTACCTGGTACCCGCATTCCCTCCAGCATTCCACTCCACCCCTATAGTTCATGTCCATGGGTTATGCATCTAAGTTCTTTGGCTTCTCCATTTCCTATACTATTCTTGACACCCTCCTGCCTATTTTGTACCTAACAATTATGCTTCTTATTCCCTGTACCTTTTCAGTATGATTTCAATGAGCAAAATTTTAAGACTGAAGTTAACATAAGTAAAACCCCTAACCTGTGAAGTCAGATATTTTTTGTGGTTCAGAGAATGTTGTAGATGAATAATATACTTCAGGCAAACAGTTTTTCACCATCCATTTAAATCAAGAATGGATATTGTAAATCTTTTTTAACTGTAGCCATTCAGCAGGTATATGGTAGTATCTCATTTGTTGTTAAATTGTATTTCCCTGGTGGTCAGTGATTTTAAATATGCTTTTATGTGCTTTATTGGCCATTCATGTAAAGTCTTGCCAATATTTAAAAGTTGAATTGTTTGTTTTACTATTGAGTTGTCAGAATTAGTTTTGTCATTGGGCGTACAGGTTCTTTGATAAGTATAATGTGAATATTTTCTCCCATCCTTTTCTGTGACATTCTTTTTTCATTTCATTTATTTATTTTAAAAAGATTTTATTTATTTATCTTTAGAGGGGAAGAGAAGGAGAGAGGAAGAGAAATATCGATGTATGGTTGCCTGTCATGTGTCCCCTGCCAGGAACTGGCCTGCACCCTAGGCATGTGCCCTGACTGAGAATCGAACGGCAGTTGTTTGGTTTGCAGGCTCGTGCTCAATCCACTGAGCTATACCAGCCAGGGCCTTTTTTCATTTTCTTAAGGATGTGTTTTGAAAAGCAAATTTGATGAAGTCTAATTTACCAGTTCTTTTCTTTTGTGTGTATTTTTTATGTTTTAAGGATCTTATATATTTGCTGGTCACAAAGATTTCTTATTTTTTCTTTTGCAAATTTTATAGGTTTAGCTTTTACATTTAGGTCTGTGATTCACTTCAAGTTTTAATTTTTATGTATGGTTTAAGGTATGAGTCAAGGTTTCTTTCTTTACCTATGGGTACCTATTTATTCTAGCATCATTTATTGAAGAGACTATTCTTTCTCCACTAAATTACCTTGGTGTCTTTGCCAAAAATCAATTACCATAGGTTAGTGGGTCTATTTCTGGGCTCTCTGATCTGTTCCCCTGATATATAGATATATCTGTGTATCTGTATATCTCTTAACACCACTTAATTTCAAAGTTAGGTCCCCTGAGTGTTTTGTCCTCTTCTGTCTTAATTCACTTTCCATAGTGCATCCAGAGCAGGGGTGTGAAAGTCATTTTTACTGGGGGCCACATCAGCCTCACGGTCACCTTCAAAGGGCCGAAATAATTTTAGGACTGTATCAATGTAACTACTCCTTAACTGTTAAGGAGTTGAAATTACAATTCGGCCCTTTGAAGGCAACTGGGAGGCTGATGTGGCCCCTGGTAAAGATGACTTTGACACCCCTGACCTAGAGTGACCTCTGAAATGTTTAATCATTGTTCCCTTTTAATGGCTCCCTTTGTCTATAAAACCTTCATTTCTACTTGGCGTTGCAAGACCTTCTGGAGACTGGTGCCTCCTACCTTTTGGGCCTCACCACTGTCCTGTACGTCTGGTCTTCCCCTCACTGCTCATTTTCTGCAGTTGCACTGGAGCATGTTTCTCTCTTATCAGCCTTTTACTTGCTTGTTCTGTTGTTTCACTTAGAGCCTTTTTCACTGCCCTCACTTCTTCCCATTTGCTAGACCGCTTATAATCTCCTAGGTTTTATTCAGCGTAATTTGTCGTTTCTTCTTTCTTGGTCTTGCCACTCTTGTGATAGTCACTCTACTCCAGTAATACCATACATAATATACTTCCTACTTTGTGACAGTTGTTCTCACATCTTTTGGTCTCAGGATTCCTTTACAGTCTTTAAAAATTATTGAGGCCCACAGAGAACGTTGTTTACGTGGGCTGTATATATCAGTATTCACTGAATTTAGAAATTGGAACTGAGAAGTTAAAAAATAATTTATTGAAAATGGTAATAAACTCAAATGTTAACAGTTATTTTTTATAAAAAAACTCTTAGCTTCCAAAATAGAAAAAAGAGTGACATTGCTTGTACATTTTTACAATTCTCTTTAATGTCTGACTTAATAGAATACAGCGGATTCTCATAGCTGCCTCTCCGTTTGATCTGCAGTGACATTACAGATCTTTTGGCCTCTGGAAAATTCCACTGTACCCTTGTTAGAGAATAAAAGTGAACAAAACAAATAAGATCTTTAGTTATTCAGAAAACAGTTTTTACCTTACGCATCTCCTGGAAAGGTCTTGAGAACTCTTGGATGTCCCTGAACTACACATTGCTTTTTAGCACTGAAGTCATTACTCGTCTCCTCCCTTCGACAGTATGCCGGGCGAGGACATACCCAGGCCTTTCTTGCTCACTGCTGTATCCTAGTGCCTGAGACATTGTCTTCCAGACATTAATGGATTGAGTCACTCATTAAATCAATGGCTAAGCTAGTTTGGTTCTCTAGAAATAGACATCAGGCACGAGAAGCTTATGGTGTATGTACAAGGGAATTGCAGTACGTGGGCTTGTCCTTTACCACTTTCAGTCGGCACGTTGGGTTTTAAACATAATGTCACAAGACTATGCTTCTTATTTTGGCTTAATGTTGGTAAAAGTGAAAATATAAATCCTTTTTTTCTTGAATTTTAATATAAGCTGTACCTTTATGGGATGATAGGAGTAACTGTAATCTAAACTATGAAATATTGCCTTGCATTCTAGAAGTCTAATCCTATCTGTTATTTCTACTTGACCAGAAGGTGTGTGGAACTGCATTGTCTCTGCTCATTTTTAAGGAACTAATTTAGGAAAAATACACAGGAAGTATTTATTTTGAAGAGGTCATTAGGTAACCAGGAGGAGCTCTTAGTCTGTTTTAAATGCTTGCCAGAAAAACTGACCATTTATCCAGTGTGGACCAGAAAAGTACATTTAAAGTGGTAATCAGTCAGGAAAAAAAGAAATAGCATGATCCATAGCTTACTAATTATGTATGGCCTGGTTTCCATGAAAGCCTTATTTAGAAAGAAAAGGAAAAGACCTGCTTATTACTACAATTACAGGTTCAGCATTTATGGCATCATTCCAGATTACCCCCCCCTCCAGTCCACCCTTAAGAGTTGTGACATGCAAACACGCTAAAAATGGCCCTACTAAATTCAGGTTCTTGACTTCATTCATCTTAACCTGCTTTGGAGTATACTTATTGCAATGATAATAGTCATAGGACTTGAAACCACTAGGGGATTTTTATTTTTGCTTTTCAAATAAAACAGACTGAACCTCAGACACAGATTTTTCTTTATTGTGAATTAGTGGCTTATTTATGTGGCTCATATAGGCCATCTAATAACAGTGTTATGTGTTTCTGATTTATTTGGTAACATTTTGAATGGGGGCAGATGAGAAAATGGCTTTGGCATCAGGCATTTAGTAAGTAGCTCTTCTATTGGACAGTGTTTGCTGGTGAAGGAAGTTCTCGTGTTAATATGGCCACATTGCTCTTTGACGTTACACCCTGTGATGGAGGATGGATTGCGCTGTGAATTCAACATGCCCTCAGAAAAGACGGTATTAGGCAATAAAATTGTTCACACTCTGTCATGAGGTTTTGGCAGGTTAATAGGCTTCACATTTATCAGGGAAAAGTCTTCTTATTTTTTATTTCTACCTTTAGAGCATTTATCCCCTTTTTTTAGGGAAGCTGGATACACATGTTAATTTGGATATTTTATACTTGTGATTTAACTATTCGCTTATTAACAAAGTGACACATTAGATAAGTTTTTAAATTCTCTGTACTGTAGCATATTATGGGATGAAATATTTTACCTTTTTTTTCTTTTAGCACAGCTTTCTGAAATTTTTTGGTCATTGCAATGATCTTGATCGGGAGATGAGAAAATGCTTAAAGAAGGAGGTAAGAGAAGTGTTAAAAGGATGGAAATAGTTCAACAATAGAACAGAACATTTTTGAACAATATTATATATTACTGCCATTGTTAAATTTCTTTCCCAAATGTTAGTATAGCATCGAAAAATTGACTTTATATGTGTGTACCCCTAAAACCTAGGAGGGAAATGAAAGCCTCTTCTGGGGCCAATTTTAGAATATCACTGCTGTTTGGCATGCACATAATGAAAACAACTTCCTTCCTCACTGTAATTCCTCTGGATGAATTTTAAAGTTTTGGAAATTGACTTTGTATAGCATATGATTGTTTAACCACTATGCAGTGTGCCTGACACTAATACAAAATAATATTGAATGTAACTGTAATTGAAAAAATAAAATTAAAGATGAAAAAAAAGATGCCATGGGAAAAGAGGATTCTTTTCATAGGAGTTTGATCTACAATTGTCTTTGAACTTCAATTAAAATGTTTGGTAAATTGAATCTCTTCAGCAAAAAAGACCTATATCAATCAGCTGTTGGCTGTAGCAGGTAACTAAAACTCTCTGGGACTAAATTTCCTTATATAAGATGATGAAGGTGGACTTGGGTTCTTTACAGCTTTAGAATTTTGAATTTCTTTATAATCATCATATGTATAAACCATAGGGATCTATGGTTTATACATACCATGCATAAACTTTCCAACTCCTCTACCCAATTTTAGGCTAAGACTTGGACTTGGGCAGATAGCCAAAATACCTAATTCATTGTCTTTTACAGGTTCTGCTAACCAAGCAGAGTGCATTCAAATCTTTCAAAAGAATTGTAATTCTGTTTGTTTTGTACATCAGATGTTTTATGTCCAGAACATTTAAAAATCTATAGTAAAAATCTGCCTTCCAATTTTATTTCATTTTCTGTACTTTGAACTTTTCCTCCCATTAACCTTATACTGAAAAGTTTTAGATATAATATTTGAAGTTTCCCAGCATCTATCTTTCTTCATTTTTGTATTTTCCACTTGGGGCTTTTTTTTTTTTTTCTTTTTTCCTTCCTGGAAAAAAGTGTCTTTACTGTTTGAGGAACTTTTCCAGAGTTCTGAGTTAAGGGTGATAAATTTCTTGTGTGAACAAAGATGTACATCTATAAATGTTTTAAACTGTTTTTTGAAGAGTTTTGTCTTTTTAATATGTGAAGGCTCATTTAGATGGAAACTAAACTTAAGACTGCTTCTTTTTAAATAAGATTATGGAAAAATAAAGACTGTACTGTTTTATTGGGTATAGCTGTTTATTTCTCACTTTCAGTTGTGTAATGTAGTTTTTTCCCCAATTTTAGATTTTTTTCTTACTACAGTTTGATGATTTTGCCATTGGCTTGGTGATTGATCATATGAAATTTTCTTCCCAGGTAAATCTGAGATGTTAGTGAATATTTGGTGGAATATTGTAGATACTCTTATTTTGTCTGAGTTTTTCATATAAATTTCAGATTTTCTCCTTAATTAATTAAGTTTTTAAAAAAGATTTTATTTATTTTTAGAGAGAGGGAAAGGGAGGGAGAAAGGGAGAGAAACATCAATGTGTGGTTGCTTCTCACGTGACTCCCACAGGGGACCTGGCCTGCAACCCAGGCACGTGCCCTGATTGGAAATCAAACTGGTGACCCTTTGGTTCCCAGCCCATGCTCAGTCTACTGAGCTACACCAGCCAGGGCCTCCTTGATTTATTTTTTAAGTCCTCTGTGTAGTTTCTATGTTGCTTAATGACCTGATTTAGGGAGGGCTGGGATAGGGGTAAAGGGCAGAAAACTGTACTTGAATAATAATTAAAATTTTTTAAAAAATGACCTGATTTATAGATGTTTTTCTGTTCTTTCATCTTTTAATACTCTGGACCTGCCCTCATTTATTTCCTCTCTGCTTTTGATGCTTTCTTGTTTACCACTTTGCTTCTAGTGCTCTCTTCCTGCCATTCTCTTGATGTGTCACTTGAGTACTTTGTTCCTTGAAGCTTTGAACTAGAAATACGGTCTGGCCAGTTCTGTTGAGCCTCACTTTGCTGCTGTGTTGTTGCTTTTGTTCATTTATTGAAATACAAACACTAGTATTACTTCTTTGTGGCATCCGTTTTCGTCCCTCTTGGTTTTTGGTTAATTGACCTTCCATTCTATCTGTTTTCAGTGGAGTTTTGTGCGAATAACATTGTATTCGTCCTTTTCTTTTTTTCTTTTATTCAGGGAGCATTTTGACTACCTTTGGAAATAATCTTAATATATGTTTTAATATAGACTGTATTTTAATTTACATTTTGACTTATTATAGTGGCCTGCTACAAAGTATTATCTTAAGAAGATTTACTGTTCAGACCCTGCTCACAGCCCAATTGCTGGGGGTAATGTGATTAAAGATAGATACAAAATATTTTTCTCAGGGAAGGTATCTGTGTTCTACTTATTTATTTTTAGAGAGGAAGAGGGAGAGAAAGAGATAGAGAAAAACATTGATTTGTTGTCCCACTTATTTGTGCAGTTATTGGTTGCTTCTTGTGTGTAGTGTACCCTGCCCAGAGATGGAACCCGCAACCTTGGTGTATCAGGATGACCCTCTAACCAACTGAGCTACCCTGCCAGGACGAGTAGTGGTGTTTTTATCCCTATTTTTTTTTAAAGCAATGAAACACACCTTTTTCTTAACAATCTTAAGAGGAAAATTAATGTATGACATAAAAGGAATCATTTTGGTTAAAGGAACCTATTGCTTCATGTATAATTTGAAGTGGCCCTTTGATGAGGAAGAAAAAAAGTTTGAAAACTATCGTTCTGGTAGATGTTAGAAACCTTCAATCAAAACTTTAGACGCAGAACACTTCTTAAAGATGATCTGGCCCAACTCCTTAGTATTTGAGGTTACTGGACCAGAAGATGAAGTAACTCAAAGGTGGGAATCTCCACACCATTGTCTCAGGAGGTGGGGGAGGGGATCTGGTCAAGTCCTTGGTTAGCTCTCTGTCGCAAATTTTTTGTTTTCTGTGGCCTCTTTCCATATCTCTGTCTCCTAAAAGATTTTGATGTCCAGCTGTTCACATACACTCAGTTTTTTCAACTTGGATTTGCTTGTCCTTTTTTTTTCCTTTTTTCGACCTGGATTTCCTTTTACTTTTTCCCCTCTCTGTCCAGGATTCTTCATTCACCTTTAAAATATGTCTGTATTGGTATATATATTATAAGCCTACATATATGAACTTATAAGAACACTTATGTTCAAGTTTCTCTGCTTTGAACAAGTGCTTTTTCTAAATGCCATGCTCTGTGCGTATTTCCTGTTATTTATAACCTACTAGCCAGATCAGAAGACTGAGTCGAAAACCTCTAAGGTGGAAACTGCATTTAGATCCAACTGATTACAGACACACAGGATTTGGGGAGACTCTGATTCAGTGACCATTCACGATAAAACAAACATAAAAAAAACCCAACCATGGGAAGTTCAGCTGCCTATAAGTTCCTATACAAACCAATAAGATAATGTGGTTGGTAAGAGCCAGTTTCTCGTGATAATATTCATATTTATAGAAATGTAATGTGTGTAGGTCATAAGAACTAGTAGGCCCATTGTAGTCCACATCTGGAGCACTGTATCTAATTCTGGTTGTGTTATTTTTCATAAGGAATATTGATATTTAAGCACTTAATAAAGGTGCTTTATTGTGGGGACAACTTTGCCCGCAAAGTCCCCGTGTCCACCATGGATTAAAGTGAAACTACCAAGACACAATCTGCTTGGGGAGGAGAGGTGGCCGATCTCTCAGAGGAGAAAGGCCAAGAACCTTTTCCTCAACGGGCTTTTATTGGGTTTGTTTGCACAAGAATACAGGTAAGGATCAAACAATGGATAGCATTCAAAGAACTTACCGGAACAATAGTTAAATAGGTAGTGAGCTCCTCATAACTAGAAGTGTTCAATCAGAGGTTGGGTAATTCTATAGATTGTGAGCTATGGAGAGCAGGAACAAAACTCATTCATCTTATATACTGAATTCGTATTTTGAGAGGAAATTAATTCAGTAAAGACTTGAGTATCTGTTAGGATGTAGATACTATATTGAATGGAATTATACTATATAGTCTCTTTTGGTTCACAGGCCCATGCTCAATCCATTGAGCTACACCAGCCAGGGCTTTATACTATATAGTCTCAAAGGTTGGTTTCCAATCTCAGATTCAGTGAAATAGGAGAAAAGTAAGAGTTTTGTCAGCACAAACATTATTTTTATTTTGCAAATATTTAAAAATATTTAACTTACTTGATATAAATGGCGATATAACCTGCTCTTTTCTCCCCCTTCCTTTTGTTTTCCAGTACATGGACAAGAGGATCAAGAGCAGGGAGCATGGCAATGCAATGCGAAGAAGACTTTTTAATTCTCCAGACGAATCTGAAACATAAATTATATTTTCACTGGATGCCTTGGCTGAGTGAAGACCTAAGACTCTTGGTTGATAACCAAAAGAATTCTATTTCATTTGGTCTCCAGAATCTTGAATAGCAAGTGACCCATGAGAGATCAAGCTGTGGAGAAATACGGACCCTGGATTCAGACTGTGTTGAGCAGAGCCTGTGGCACTCCGACTCCCTTACCAGCGCACCTGACTTTTAACACGCTTCTTTCCTTTGCCTACAACCACTTAACATTTGAGTAACTTATTTCTCCCTTAATAAAATCATTGAGTTCAATCATGTTTTCTCTGTTCTCTTAGACTCCTGAAATTAGGGCAAAATGGTCCCATTAGACTTTCCTTTTGAACAACGTGGCAATTCTGGAGCTTAAACATTGAAGGTACAAGCTAGGGCAAAAAGAGTTTGAGGAAATTCCCAGCTGTGTTAACTATATGACAATGTTCCAACTTTATTATTCGTAAAAGGTTAGATGTTTAACAGTGATAAACATCTAACATTGGTAAATTACTCGTAGTTAGAATTTACGTCTTGGTGGACTTCAGTTCCTGTTTGGTTGGATGTGCCTGCCCCGGGTGCCACTTAACTCCTGGGCATTACCTTAGGCTCGCGTGCCTCCTCTTGCTATGTCCCGGGCTCGTTCTTCCTCCCATACTCATTTTTAGCAGCATTTTTTCTTCCTGGTGTTTCTGAGACCTGTGAGAATCAAAGTCAGCAACTTCCAGCCACATGACTGCACAGCTTGATCTTGTCAGGTAAGGTATCAACAGACTGTGCACTGTGAACTCCTTGTGAATTCTGTTGTTTATGTTTGGTATGAGGTCTTGTTGGTCTCAGTGTTTCATAAGTGATTTCCCCATCACAGGAGGTATTCAAGAGGCTGGATCTTGATACTCACTTAGCGAGGTGGTTACAAAGGATAACATATTTGATGAAGGGTTAGAGGAAGAAGCAGAATTAATTCTTAGGTCCCTTTCAAGACTGAGATTTATGAATATTCACTTGTGCTCACCCAATCTCCCCCCCCCCCCCCGTCAGTACAGGTATGGAAATGAGACATTTTATCTTTAGAAGCTTATAAACGGACAAGTTGACTATTAGTGTAGTAAGTGTCATGATCGGGTAGGTGTCGTAGAAAACAGGACGTCTATGCCCAGTCTTCGGGAAGAAGGAGCCATTCCAAGAAAGCTGCTTAGCACAGGAGACTTTGGACAAGTGGAGTGAAAATGGAATTCATTCTGGGGAACGCAAGTCGTTGAGCATGGCTGGAATATGAGAACTCTTGATGGAGGGAGATCAGAAATGTCTTTTAATTTTGTTGGAATTACTTCTTCAATGCTGTGGTGACCAGTTGCATATTTTAATATGGTGATTTGGGATTTGTGGAGGGGACTTAGGAGGTTGATATGTTTCAATTTGTGTTTTTAGTAAGACTTTTCTGGTTGTAGTTTGTCATGTAAACTGGAGGAGAAGGGAGATTACACTCAGGGGGACCAACTAGGTTACGCCCTAATTTAGGTGAAAAGTGATGGCCTGAATTAAGTGGCTTGGGGATCAAGAGGAGTGACTGGATTTGAGGGGAGTTTGAACACAGAATCGGCACGACTGACATGGGGTAGGGTTTAGGAAAAGTCTGGGAGGCCTCGGGCATTGTATTTGTGCCTGCCTGCTGTAGATGTCCTGCCCAGAGGGGAGAGAGTGTCGGAGAGGTGTGGTAGGAAGTCTGAGGTGTGTGGGTGCTCCGGGTGCAGGTGACTTTTAGGCTTCTGAGTAATCGGATCCAGAGTTTACTAGAGTTGCCTGGGCTGGAGCAGACTTGGGGACAGCACCACACAGATTAGGGCTGATGACCTGGGGCTGATGTTGATAGTGGACCAGGAGAGTTTTGTAGAGCAGAATGGGATTTTTTTTCAGGGAGGGGGGGTCACTTAGTTTTTAAATTATGTGAGTACTACATTTGTAGGAATATTCAAACAACTTACAAGTTTTACAGAGTAAGAATTATCCTTTATTCCCCAATATCACGTTTAGACAGAATTATCTGTAACTGACAGTTCGGCGGGGCTTCTAGGCATTTATATTAGCGTTTCAGGACAGAAGAGAGAGCCCGTATTTGGAGAAGGAGCAGGCATAGAGGCAGAAGGCAAACCACAGTGACTGGTGGTTACAGAGGAAGGAGTGTCACTGGGTCAGAGTAAGGGCTGAGGTGGCAGTTGATTGGATCCCTCTATCGTCTGTGACCTTAGAGCCATTTGGTGTGGTGAGGCGTGGGTGGAAACTGAAATAGAGTCGGAGGGTATTAGCACATTTGAGAAGGCTTGGCTCTGAAGGGAAGGATAGTGTAGGATTGATTGAGAGGTCTTACAAAATCAAAAGAAAAATGAGTGACACTTGGGAATGGGTGTATGTTGAAAGAATGCCATAGAAGAGAGGGATTCGCTTGTGGAGTGAAATCTTTGAGGATGCAGAAATGGGTGAGATTCAGGGCCCACGGTGACAGTGGTGATTTTTTTTTTTTCTAAAAACATCAGAAACTGAAAACTTGAAGCACTGCAGGACATGCAAAGTATTCTTTTCAGAGAGCAGCAAATGCCTATTTGTGCAGGATGTAATGCTGTTTCTTCTACAAAGAATTAAGAGCAAAGCTCTGTTTCTGCTCCCTGAGGACCAAAACCTCAGATACACGAATGTCACCAGGAACCAGTGATGCCAGTAAACGTTTAATGACTGGCTCTCCAAGACAAAGGCAATGGTTTGTAGCATTTGCCATTTTCTGTGTTGTAAATATTTCTGCCATGGCAGATTTCAAGCTACCAAGCTGATGTCGCTGAAGGTGGTGTTAGGAAGAGGTGTGCTTAGCAGGCTCTTTTGAGCTGGTACCAGCTTACACCAGCCCCCCAGTGGCACACCACTGCTGTGCCGGAAGAGCTGCAAAGAATGATCAAGTCCGTTGGTTGCCCACTGATTATCACCTTCCCCCTCTCTAACGTTTTGTCAGTTGAAAGCACCTGTAATGTCAGATGTACACTAAAGCAATACTGCTGTGACTTCTGTGACAGAGCAGCTGTAGTTGAGGACTGCTGGGGTTCAGCCAGTCTCTGGGGGCATGTCCCTTGTAGAACAGCAGATAACCATATGCCAGGAGGATTGGGAAGGAAATGAGACCTGCCTGTGCCATTATGGGTGGTTGGATTTGTGCCCTGGCAACAGAGTTCAAGAGCTCAGACGTCCTCTACCCTCTTTATATATAATCACATTACCTTAATAGCCATCTCAAGAACTGCTGGTACCTGTGAAAATGGGTGTGGCTGTCTATAAGTTGTTACCTAGCTATGTGACTTCTGACAAGAGTTCTCAGTCTGGGTTTCAACTCGTAGTTTTAAAATGAGGTGGTTGGACTCATTTACTGTTTTGTTTACCACGGAATCCTTAGTACTCAGGCCCAAGCACTAAACGATCAGTAGGAGCTAACTGTTTTGCAATAAAAGATGCTGCAACTATAAAGGCAGTTTGTCCTGGGTCTTTGTGGTTGTTTGTGTTATTTTCCCTTTAAATTTCCATCCCATTTTGATATCTGCTTCCTATCCTCACCTCTTGTATCGCTGGAGGGTGCCACCTTTACTAATAGGACTATATCGTATCCCTTGAGTATTGAAGCTAAATTGAGGGTCACAGAGTCCTGCTTAGAACTTCTCTCCTTGCTCCTGTCCAGCTTCCTTGCAGACAGCCCTCACAGAGCTGCCAGGGAAATACTGCACACCGCTTTTAAGGTCGTACTCTGAATATTCCAGGTGTTCTAATTCTTGTGTAGCAAGGTGCACACTCAAGGCCCTGGCAATACAAGGCTCCTCTGCCTCTTTAGCTCCCTCTAGGAGGGGAGTTTGGGAAAGAAAACGCTGTGGAGCTGGGACATGGGGAGCAAGGGAGAGAGTGGAATGAGATGGGTGGAGAATGTGGGCAGGGACCTTGGGAGCCACAGCAAGGAACTTGGGTTTTATAAAGATCTCTCTGGCTGCTGGGTGAAGAATAGTTATGGTTAAACTAATTTGACCCAGGTTTAAGTTACTTAAACTATTCTTCAAAAAATTTTAGAAAGATTTTAATTATTTATCTTTAGAGGGGAAGGGAAGGAGAGAGGGAGAGAAATATTAATGTATGGTTGCCTCCCATGTGTCCCCTGCTGGGAACTGGCCTGCAATCCAGGCATGTGCCCTGACTAGGAATCGAACCGCAATCGTTTGGTTCTCAGGCTCAAGCTCAATCCACTGAGCTACACCAGCCAGGAGCTAAGTTACTTCAACTTTTTTAAGCCTCAGGTTCCAAATCTGTAATTGGTGGATGTTATCAGTACCTATTGCATAGAGTTACTGTGAAGATTAGTTGAGATAATGTATATAAAGCTGTTGGAAAATTAACTGGCACAAAATAAAGGCCTACCAATATTGCTATTCTTGATGAGTGCATCCAAAGGAGTATTGGTAACACTTCCCTGCATTTTTGTAGAATGAAGCAAATCACTTGGGGTGGTCCCATTTGGACAGGGCCCCAGCAGTGGGGGGATCAAAGGGTGAGGGACTTGGTATGAGGCAGAGAGAAGGGCCAGGCAGCTACAGCTTCTAGAAACTCAACCCTCCCTGGATCCCTGTACATCCCTTATTTCATAGAATAAGTCCCACTGCCTGGCTGTCTGCATTTCTTCCCATAGTCACATTAGGACCTTCTGGTTTAGGTAATGTCTCCAGTCTTGCCTACTTTTTCCCAGCCCTCTGTGGATCAGAGCGAAATGTCTCTAGATTAGAGTTTTCTTCTCTAGAGCAAGCTCACTATCCTCCTGTCCAGGGGATTTGTGTGGTTTGTTTGTTTGTTTGTTTAATTGCCATTTGTAATAGGAGTCTAAGAGGCTGGAGTCAGATAGGGGTGGGGAGGAACAGAGATTCTATCTCTTTTTGCTTTTATCGAGCTGGCACTGTGCTGGAAGCACAGTGATTGATGATGAATGAGCTGGTTAGTCCAGGTCAGGGCTCGTGTTATGAAGGACCACCTGAGTCCTGATGAGGAGTTGGGCTTTCCTTTTCAGAGCACTGGGAATACATTGTAGGGTTTGTGCAGGATACAGTGATAGATTTATTTAACTTAGTGTCGATTTTCAGTGGCTTTGGGTCATGATCTTCTCTTGAAGTTGAGGATCTCAGGCCAAGGTTTTCCTGAGAAATCTAATTTTGTGGAACACTGTGAGCCTTGATGCTCCGGTCATGACAAGTTTATTAATACTTTATTGC